AATTTGTGCTGACTATAGGTGGAATGGCGTTCGCTATAGCAGGAAATTATGTAGCTGATTTGATAGAAAAAGAATACCCTGATACGACCGGCGTATTCGTTAAAAAGAGGTATAATAAAACCTCAACCGCACCTACCAATTCTGAATCTCAAGATACATAATGCGAACAAGAAGTCGATTGTCAAGCATCTTAATTAATTAGATCGAGAGTCCCTGAGCTCAGTTTCTATTACTACATAATGGCGAAGGACCGTGTTGTGTTCATGTTATTAAGTTCATAAACTCTTCCTTGAAGATAATACATAGGGATCTTGTGCCGCCATTGGGATGAGATCATCATTCTTTTGTAAAATAAAGTTCAAAAATTTCTTTAATATCCCTCTTTTGTTTCTTGCTGGAAGATGATCGGCGTTGTTTGGATCTGTAAAAATTTAAAAGCACAATCATGATACAATTCATAAATTTCCCATAGAAGTATAGATCATAGTAAATAAATTTTCAAACCGAAAGATGGCAAAGCATTATCGTTAGCGCTCAGTGAAATAAAATAAGCAAAGGGAACCATCCAAACGCATATTCCGAAAAATGCAGAAATGTCCATGAATGCAAAATAACGTGAGGTAAAGTATTGAAACCAAAGAATATGGTCAGCTAAGACCAACACTGGTGAAAAAAATGTGATTAATTGCAATCTTTCATGTCAACAGAAATTCTCGTCGCTTGAAAAAAGACTCACAGCAGCTCATTATAAAAGGAAAACTCGATAGACTGATAAAGGGGAAATTCTTCAGGTTCAAAGTGTACACACCGTGACACATTGTTGAGAAGGCCGTTTGCCAAAATGGAAAACCATCGAATAACCAAAGAAGAATGTGAATTAGGATGACGGCCTAGTAATTTGAATTCATGGATAAATAACATGGTTATACGTCCAAACATATTTTTTTACTACAGACCCCTGTGACATGTTTGATGATCTTTTTTGTTAAAACTGTGTATTCTTCGACAAGTTCAGCTGAACAAACACAATTTCAACAGTCAATAAATGTTTAAGGTAAAGAAAAATAAAAAACGCGTTTGAAAGTTAGATGTCATACCTAAATAATATAGTCCACAGGCTTCGTTATAGGACAATCAAGTCATGAAATAGAAAATTGAGAATATGGTTTAGATTGGCCCGCGTTCACGCGTCTTTACTTCAGATCAAAAGGTACAAAATATACCTAAACTCAAAGTTAAAAATAAAAATAGGAGGAATACCGCTCCGTATGACAATATATGTAATAATGACATTTTTTTTTTTTTAATCTATAGCGGAAAATTGAATGGCTTAGAAGTTCAGTAATGGTTTGTGGGTGAAAGCGTTTGCAAATCTACCACTTTATTTGGTGTAACATCGATCGTAATAAAGTCTCAAAATTAATTAGCACGTGCAGATTATAAAATACGTATCTGATACGTATTTTTAAACATTATACCTGATAGTTCGTTTTCACGCAAGAATGGCAATTAAAAAAAGGACTATCTTGGTTTTGGGCTCTCGTGCCGTAGGCAAGTTTTAACCTGGACTTTCCTTACCCTTACTTTCGCGTTTCCTTGATTTTTTTGACCTTTGTTGTAGGTAAATCCTCTTTAACGATTCAATTTGTGGAAAACCATTTTGTTGATTCTTATTATCCTACTATCGAGAATACTTTTAACAAGGTTATAAGATATAGAGGACAAGAAATCGCTGCGGACATTATTGATTCTGCTGGTCAGGTACGAAAGACCAATTTCCTGCAAACGGTCTAGCTTATCGTTTGAAACTAATAATTATTCCCGTTAGGATGAATATTCAATTTTGAATTCTACACATGCGGTTGGAGTTGATGGTTATATTTTGGTTTACTCGGTTACTTCTAGGCAAAGCTTTGAGATGCTTAAAATTATTAGAGAGAAAATTTTAACATATACAGGAACAGATTCTGTTCCAATCGTCTTGGTTGGAAATAAAACCGATTTACACTTGCAGAGGTAATAAAGAGCTTTTCATATTCAATTTTCAGATCCGTATTTAATTCAAAATCACGTCAGATATTTATATAGATGACAATAATTCTCTTTTTTTATTGTATAGACAATTAACTTCAGACGAAGGTAAAGGTTTGGCTGCGCAATGGAATTGTGCATGGACCGAAGCATCAGCTAAGCATAATGAAAACATAAGTGAGTCACTTTCTCTTCTTGGTTTTATGGTAATCTTATTTCTGACATTTTTCCTTCAAATTCGTTTTCGGATAAATTAGCACGCATTTTTGAGCTGATGATAAACGAAATCGAAAAGACTTTAAATCCAAATGGAGAAGAAAGTGGTGGTTGCACTATTATCTGAAAAAAAATTACACACATAGTGTTAATTTAGTGGGTTGCACTGCACTTTAATACAGACTAGGCGGTTTTTTATATCTGGATTTCCGAGGGAATATTGTAACTTATATGATTTTATTGATTTTGAAGAATTACTTTTTTTTCTCAAGACCTGTATAAATTTGGGTATATGGTAAGGTTGGCTGAAATTTATATGGTTTGGATTCATGAAATTTTTGAAATTCTATGTGTTATCCTCGTTTGAACTTAAATAAACGGTTTTCAATAAACACTATAATTTTCTATAATGCAATGAGGAACTTGTTTTGTATTCAAATGGAAAAATATTATTTTGTATAGTAAAGTTCGTTTAAGCAAAATTTATGTTACCAAGCGATTATTTACAGTATAATTTAAATTATCTAATCCCATAATTACCGTTACTAATAGCGGATAGGATAATTCTAATATTAAAGAATTGTATAACTAAAATATATACAGTAACTAAAAATATTATAAATATATTTAAACTATGCCGATCAATTAAGTTTTCCCCCAATTGTATTTAACGCGTCTTTTAATTGAATGAAGGATCGAAATGCAAGGCTTGGTAGACTACGATTCCTCTAGTTCGGACGAGAGTCAAGGTATTTTTGTGTGAGATTAACGTGTATGTGAATGACAGTTGATCAAATTTGATCAAATTTTCGTAGGGTCAGTAAAAAATGCGTGTGCAAGTAAAACAGAGAGTAAGACCGGTAATTCCAGGAATTCGGGTATAGTCAGCGTGGATAACATCTATATGACTATTGATAGTGGAAAAAGAAAGTCGGAAACAGAGGATGAGGATTCAAGAACGAGGTAGGAGTTATCTTGATTCTTGAGACAGGAGCTCGTTATTCGATTCATTTTCATCTTGATTATCAACAAAGTAAAAGACGAGAGCCAAAGAAATTACCACCTTTGCCGCCAGAATTCTTGAGTCTTTATCAAGGTAGTTATGCTATATTTTGGATACGAGCTTATAAGTTGTCTTGTGCCTGTGAAATATTATTGAACTAAAAGTTTCCGATCATGAATAGATAAAAAGTATGTGGATAACCCAGAAATACATCAAGGTCGAATTAGAGCTACACCGCATGTGGAAGGGAACTGGGCCACTCATGTGTATATGGAAGGTATCGATAGCAGCAACAACATTTGCCCTTATTGATTTACCTCTAGATTAATATTTTCTATTAACATTTTTCCCTTTTTTTGCATAATTAACAAAGTCATGTTACCTGATGAATTTAAAGATTTAATTCATGAAATTAAGACTTGTGCTCAAAACATTGTCAATGATGGAGGTGTTAATATCTATTCATGTATTGATGGAGGTAAGGATGATCTCATCGTTTGAATAATCCTGATGATATACAACTACAATATTTCTTTTAATTATATGGGCGAATCTCATTTATAGATTTCTCTGGAATCATTTACAGATTCAAAATTGCATATCAGTTTATCAAGACCTTTATTCTTAAAGTATTTTCAAATCGACCAATTTTGGGATAAATTACAAAAAGGCTTCGCAAATGAGAAAAGGTTTGATCTGTGATTTTGGAGTTTTCCTTGAAGAAAATTTATAAAGAATTTAACTGTTTGTTATGCACAGGTTTACGTTGTCATTCACTGAACTTGAGTATTTTGTGAATGACGAGGAAACAAGGTCGTTCCTTTCATTCAAAGTTGGTAGAGGAGTTAATGAGGTACATCTTTACACTATTGATCAATTAAATGTTATTTTTTATTTACTTATTTACTCTTTTTTTCTATCTTTTTAAGTTAAAGGAATTACTAAAACATGTCAATAAGGTGGCAAGGGATTTTCGACAAAAAGAATTTTATACGGTAGTTATTAATTTTTAACATCATGGTTTCATTTGATACCGAATGTGATCTTACAATTTATCGCATCTTCATTCACAGAACCCATACTTTCATGCGAGCATTCTGTGGTCGGTAGGCGGATCGACGATTGACGGTTCATTACGAGACGCAATCAAGGAGACAGGATATGAGTCAATTATAAGAGAATTCATATTTATCATAGATAGAATGGTATGCAAAATTGGGAATAAAATATTTTTTACCAATTTGACATGAACAGAACTCAAATAACGCATTGAAACGTAATCAAATATAAATATAAATATATAATTTCAAAGTTATGGGATTTGAATCTCAAGAATAATGATAATTTGTAAGTAAATGCCATTCTATAACTTCGCCTTCTCAACTCCATCATTTCGACTTAATCCAATCTCTTTTAAATAGTCTCCACTCAAAACGTTTTTCAAAACCTCATTATATCCCACGTATACTCCCGTTTCCTGTTTCTGATTCGATGGCTCCTCCTTAACCCAATTATACATCGTCTCATACACGTCTCCATCACTTCTTCCCAATGCACTGTTCAAACAATTATCGCTAAATTCCCATGCATCCACTAATCCTATAGCGTCAGGTCTAATCTTCCTCAATAGTTGTTTTTGTGTCCTTTGTAAAAGTTTAATGTGATTGGAATCATAATACCCAGCCATTAGAAAATCACCGGATTGGATCAAAACGGTGTCAACAAAGAACAAATCTACGAGATTCCTTAACGTTGGATACAAGCGCGGATGTTGCTTCATTAAAGATTTCAATCCTTCATGGGCATTTGATAAAATCGTCAAATAACAATAGGCACGTGTAACATTTAATGTGTCTATAATGTGCCCTGACTTTGCTCCTTCGAATCCATCGGGATGGACTTGTGATGTTGTTTTGAGATCGCTGTCAAGGTTGAATATAAGATATAGAAATCGATGTCTAAAGGATTCGAGTTGAAAATCAGGATCCAACAACTGTTCCACGGATTTTGAAGATGATTTTTGAAGTAGGATCTTCTTATAATCCTTGATATAGTTTAGTCGACCATTAATGATTTTTCCTTTCTTGATGGATTGAAAAGTTTTCAAGAGATAATTTCCGGTCTGTAGGTACATGATGGTGTTTTCCCCTATTGCACAAACGATCTATTACTATAAAGGCGAATTCTACTTCAAAGCTGTAAACAATGAGATTTTTTACCTTCCACTGTAGGATATTGAGAGTAAAAGGACAAGATTTCCGGGATTCTGTATATTAGAGAATGAAAAATGCAAAGAAGCTCCGAAAGTGCTACCTTATCAGAAAACAACAAAAATAATATCAATGACTAGATTATTTACCCACTGAGGCTTGAATATCCATGCCCTTTGATTAAAATAATTATGTCAAGCGCAAAGTCAAAATTTTTTTATAAAAAAAAAGAGATTATATAATAACTGACCACCACAACTACGTCTAGCATCTTCTATAGATGCAGTTACCAAATCGGTACACAAAGCTTTCCATCCCTGGATGGCGATGAGGTAAATTCGTAAATTCATTAATAGCGATCAATTAGATTTGGATGTCAACATACCGCGGAATTAATATGCACTTCGGCCATCAAACTGACATCCCCTTGGTTAACTTTAGACAAATTTTCCTCAATTAGCTTTCTCATAAACCTTGCATTAAATAAAAACACGTACGCCATCGCCAAACCCCTGAATAATTTGTACTGTTGGGATTGATAATCTAAAACTTGCAATTCTTGACTCGGGTCTTTGTAATCATTGCCCTGTCTGCGAATGATCGAATACCTTATGGCTATCGTTAGAACTCTCGCAAGAATAATTGCAGCATTTTGAATAATATCAGCACGACCTAAAACCAATACACCATAGGCCATCTTTGCGTGAGGTGGTCTGGTGTAAACACCGGTGTTCGAGACTTTTGAAAATTTCATTGGCATGTTAGTACGTGGGATACGAACTTTTGTAAAGCGAAGGAAACCTAGTCGGCGAAAAATGCATACGTACTGTCAAACCTCTGATTTAAAGAAAAACAATGTTTTATAATAATAGATTTCAATTACCGTTGTCAATAACATTCATTCCGTACTTTGGACCGATGTCACCAATCTCGATTCCTGGTAATGGCTTATGATCTTTACCACGAAACTGCACTATGAAAGGATGAACTCCGTAATCCTTATTATCGATAATAAGTCGCGCAAATACAGCTCCGTGATTACTGTGGATAAAAATAGGCCAATCAACATTTGTGTGATTGACGACAACGTTTGAAGGATATAAATTGAGAGTGTACCTTGTTCGCGCAAGAGAGCCGGGCCACCTTTTTGTGTATATGGCAAAATTAGATGTAAGAATGATTCGCTATGAAAAATATGTCAATGCTTACCATTTTGTTGAGGTCAAAGTTGGAGAATGAATCTCGAACTCGTCCTATCGCAATTATTTAATCAGTGTTATCGATCATGAAATTCAATTGTATTAATTAACATGATACTTACGGTTTCACGTATATAAGTAGCGGTTGTTTCTAATTTTCTAACATTGGATCCATGCCCCAATTCCGTTTGAACATAGCTAAAATTTAAATATTAATTAACGGCTAAATTCAAATTGGAATTCATATAATTAATTCACACCATCCCAAGATCGCATAGTTCTCTACTAAAGGAAGCCATTTTTTAATTTGTTCCTCGGACATTTGTCCTTCAATAACCGGTCGAAACATGAAATCATTCTAACAATAATTAAATTAAAACATTGGATTTGCAAGTTCTTCTAGTGAACGACACACAACACATTATTATCCTCATAGAAAGACTACAGTACCAAAATTATTGGAAGTGCCTCGCCAGTTGCTATGATCAGCGTGTTCCAATCCGTTGGCGATAGATCATATTGTTTCTTTAATTGAATTAGTCTCTTCGATTTTTGCAAAGCTCTCACATAAAGCTGCTCTCTATTAAGGAAGATTCTGTCATGGTTGATGAACACTGGTTCCTTTTTGGAATCTATAAGATTTTCAAGCCATCTGCGACGAGCTTTTATAATGGATGGATGGATAAGATGGTCTAGAGATTAGAAAACACCAAACTGTGATGGACAAGTAAAATTCGAAATTATGATTCTTAATGCTTCTGAATTCAATTTCAGTTCTAATATAAGTGCATTGTGTGGGTCATAACGTGTTCTTTACGCGTATACTAGTCTATCGAGTCTGTTTCATTCCAATTTTCGAAACCTTATTTAAAGATCACTACATACAAACCTGTGTTTTTTGCTCCGTCATCCAAGAAGTTCGTCAATTCCTCAACGGGAAACGACACGGCTTTTCGTGCATTAGCCAAAAACTCGTTAACTTTATTATCTGCCATTTATGACGCGGTTCTCGATTCTGCTCAATAATTTGTAATGGTAACGATTCTAAGTTGCGAGTTTTAGATTCTCAGTGAAATAAACCGGCTAATGCTAAAGATAAAGAATGCTAAAAATGAATGAACATTTTTTTTTTGCAGTTCTTTGCCATTGAAAATTTCATTTAAAATTTAAATAAAATAAGATAAATATATATGTATATACAGTTTGATTTAAAAAAATTGAAAAAAATTTAAATTTTGAGTTTTTTTATAACTAATTAACAAATAAAATATAAATATAATACAGTATATACAGTATATTTTAAAGAATAAAGTTATAGAAAATATATTAAAATAAATATAATTTATCTCTTAAACAAATTAAGTTTGTTGGGGGTGATTGTTTAAACAATATTAGAAAAAAAATTTTTAAATTAATATATTATATTGTTTAAATAGAATACTGTATATCAGATTATACAATTTAATAAATAATTAAGAAATCAGTATTGTTAAGAAAAGTATATAGACTTTATTATTATAAAAATATAAAATCTTTTTGATAAAATAATTTACAAAAAAAAAAAAAAAGTTATGCTTGTTTGCAATACAAAAAAAAAAAAAAAGTTATGCTTGTTTGCAATACAAAAAAAGTTGATTTTGTTTATTTTTTTAAATTTTAAAATTTTTGTTAAAAGTTTTTTTTATTTATATAGTAACTCTTATTATAATATAGCTGAAAATTTAAAATTTTTTATACTATAACAAAAAATATACAATAATAAAATTTTATTTTAAAATAAATTTATTATAAAAATTTATTAATAAATTAAAATAATATTTTATTATCTTTAAAAATATCAATTATTTTAAGTTACTTTTTACTTTTGATTTTTTTTTAAACAATTTAATATTTTAAAATATTTAAAACTTTTATAATATCACAATTAATTTTTACAAATTATTTTATTAATCTCTTTATTATTTTTATTATTTTTAATTTTTAATTTGAATTTTTTATTATTTTCAAATTTTTGAGTTTTTTTTTATAAATTAAATTATTTTTTTATCTATTATTTATTTTATATTTAAAATTTGATTATTTGTTTAAATATATTTAATTATAATAAAAAAATCAAAAATTTAAAAAATTTAAAATTTAATATTTATAAGTTATTTTTTAATTTTATAAATATAATTATTAATAAATTTATAATTATTTAAAGTTTTAAAAAAATATATATATTTGTATAATTTTAACTAATTTAATTATAATTTTTGTTATGGAATTTTAAACATTAATAAAAAACCAATTATATTTTAAATAAAAAAAAACTGAAATATAAATTTTTGAAAATAATAAATTGATGAATTTTAAATTGATTTTATATAGAATTTATTAATAATAAATTTAAATAAATATAAATAATTTTTTTTTTTTTTAAATAAATATAAATAATAATTATAATTATAATATAATATATATATACTGTATATTAAGACCTATGGATCTATAGCTTAGTGATAAAGCTCTATAGGTTATCAAATAAAGGTCTAGGATTTAAACTCATCTGATTACAAAATTTATCACATTTCATTTTTAATTAAATTATATGAAGATATGACTTTTGACCTTTCTTGTAGTCTTGAGGTTACAATAGATTACAAAAAAAGAAATAATTATATAAAGAAAGACCTTTGATCTAATTCTGATTAAGCCTCATAATTCATTATACAATATAAACAATGTCATATTTGGATATATAAATTGGATTATACTTTATTTTAATTAATTCTGATTACTATTTCTTTTACCTGTTAATTGCCTAAATAAGAAACCTTAAAGTGAATATTAAATCAATATCTCTTATATGAAGATATAATTACTATATAGTGAGACAGAATATATAGGAGTTACGTCCTGCTTGATATTTATACCTCTAAATTTAACAACTTATGCCAATCAGCCTAAATCTGGATATATCTATTAGTAGATTAAGAATTGATCTGTAGGTAGTATTTTGCAAATCTACATTTACATAGATTTTTAAAAAGTTATACTCTTGTTAATTATATAACCTCTAGGTTTGGAAATATTATAACTAATCAATAGTTAAAACCAAAGCATTCACTAGAAAGTACATACTTATATTAAAGGTCTTCACTATTGCATATGCTATATGAGTGAAAATGTATAATGTGATAAGTAACTTATACTTAAGTAATTAATAGTATACATATAAAATTATGACTAAGCTCTCATCAGGAAATTTTTGAGCAGAGGAACTCTGTATATCTCCGCATATCTCCGCCGTCGTTAGAGATCTCCGGAGTATCAATATATATATATATATATTTCGAAAATCTCCGAAAATTTATTTCCTCCGGAGATTTTCGAAGGTTTTCGAAGGTTTTCGCTAACCTTCGAAAACCTTCGAAATTTATATATGTTTTTTTGATACTCCGGAGATCTCTAACGACGGCGGAGATATGCGGAGTTCCTCCGCTCA